GAAAATAATTTTACAACGTTATATACAACAAATACATTACCATGATGTGTTACAATATGATATAAGTATGGAGTGAAAACAAGAGGGTCCATTTCTGATGATATTTTAATTAAACACTAGAAAGCTTCATCTGATTCATGAGGTGTGGGCATGCATACATGATGTGATTTTTGGAGCAGATTCAAGAATCCATGAACTCTAATGCAATGATCACATCATAGAACACACTTTCAGCATTCTAGTAACTTAGTAAGCCACTTTAACATCTATGAAGAATACGCCAGTATCCTAGTCTATTACATGCTAGACATTTCATGACTAGATATTATCTCTCCATAAACGTGTATTTTTTTTTTCACATTATTCACTATGTGCACTTCATTTTTCAGGCCTTAGTCCATTTTAATTTTACTCTGCTATATGAATTTTCTCATAACAGCTAAATACAGCATTGCTGCTGTTATTTTGAAGCTCTACTTATGTCAAAACCAACTTCATCTTTTTTATGCGAGTGCAACCATGTATTCCAAGAATTCTAAGCTAAGCATCGGCTCCGATCTCAGTATATATAAACCAACTCGACATGATTTCATTCCCTCATTCCAAGGTAATAACAAAAATTAATCTTCAATAAAATACTCAATAACGTGATTATGTTTCAAAGACAACATTCATCATCAAGATGGCAACTTCGAATCAGAAGTTGAATCCAATAGTATCTCACCAAAGAATGTGCCAATCATCGCATGCCTCGCCCCTTTAACCGGGACCGATCAATATGCCAAGACTCAAAATCAACCACAAAAGAACCTAGAGGGAACCACGCGGAAAGGGTAAGAAGACGAAGAGAAAGGTGACTTGCCAATCCTGTAGAATACGAGACCGACGGGAATCCACTGAGGTGAGGCGCAAAACCGCTCCTTCTCCCACGACTTCCGATCAAGAAGGCTCCTACAATCAGAGCGCAGTTACCACGGCGGCCTCCGGAACACGGATGACGAAGGCTCGATCTGGAGAACAGAGTCCGCGGCAGCGGCCGACATACACGACGAAGCCAGTTCATTACTCCCTTCCCGCCGTCTCTGGCAGATCGACCTCTCCGAAGACGTCGTGCCTCTGCCTCCGCCTCGGGGTTTCCGGCAGTTGTATACGATATTTGTTGCCTGCCGACGAACTCCACCACAGCGATTGTTTTGGGCGGAACAAAGCCTAGGGTTGTAGCCGAGCCCAGCCGAAGCCGAGCTTCGAGCTGCTTGGGCTCGGTTGCTTGTAGTTTCTATTGTGTTCAAACCCGGTTCAAGTTCGGTTCGAAATCGACTTACTTTGTGTAAACAACTTTAAGCCGTGGCCTTGGGGCGACGCGGCTCGATTTGGGTCCGAATGATGGGGGATCTTCCTGGGATGGCCCTTGGGACCGCTAAGGTGGCCGACTACGATTGTCCGATCGAGACGGGATCGTCGTTTCCTCCGGGAGGGAACTCCTCACCTAGGCGTTTAATGGGAGGCCTCCGTCTTCGCACCTGCACACAAGTCGGGTCGAGAGAGCTCGGCCCAACCCCTCCGACGATTAAGTTAGCGAATAGTTGTAGGGGGTTATTCTCTTATCCTCCTCCCCCTTTCCTCGGAGCGCGAGGGTTTTTATAGTGAGGGTTACCGTTGCCTGATGTGCCTGTCCGCTGGGAGTAGGATCGTACTTCTGGTAGCGTCTGACATGGACGTTGGCGTGGCGTAAGGGATCAAGCTTGAGCAGGATGTTAATGTGCTTTGGTCGGCATTCCGATCCGTGTTGACCAGGTGTTGTCAGGTCAATAGAGGCGCAAGGCGTCATCTGGGGCAGTTGACGTCACCCGAGTTTTATCGCCATTATTACCCTCATCATATTCCCCCCCCGAAGGAAGCTATGTGTCGGTTGTTGTAAAAGGGGAGTCCGAGGCATGACTTTAGCTTTTAGAAACTATCCATGCTGGGCGATTGCCGGTCTGTCACCAGGGGTGTGGGAATTGTGGAGTTTAGCAATTAAGGAGGGTTGGATGTGCAGCGATGGCCCTGGGAAGTATGCGACCGAGGAGCGCGACTTGGGCTGGCAGGCTGCGCAGAGGTGGTGGTCTCGGGCAACATGCAGCCGAGGAGCACGACTCAGGCGGGCAGGCCACGCAGAGGTAGTGGTCTCGGGCAACATGCAGCCGAGGAGCGTGACTCAAGCGGGCAAGCCGTGTAGAGGTGGTGGTCTCGGGCAACATGCAACCGAGGAGCACGACTCAGGCTAGCAGGCCGCGCAGAGGTAGTGGTCTCGAGCAACGTGTAGTTGAGGAGCACGACTCAGGCGGGTAGGCCGCGCAGAGGTAGTGGTCTCGGGCAACATGCAACGAGGAGCATGACTCAGGCGGGTAGGCCGCGCAGAGGTAGTGGTCTCAGGCAACATGCAGCCGAGGAGCACGACTCAAGCGGGTAGGCCGCGCAAAGGTAGTCGAGGAGCATGACTCGGTCGGACAGGCCGAACAGAGGTGGTCTCGCGCAGAGGTCTTGAGGAGTCTGTTCGGTGAGGAAGGTCGTGTGCTCTTAGTCCTCGGGCGCCCTCCTCTTCTATGAAGCCCGCTGCTAAAAGTCGCTCCACCTCCTCACGACCATTTAGGCCTCTGTTGCAATGTACTGGTTAGCCCGTTGGAGCATCTCCGGTACCACAGTGGGGGGTCGCTCCGCGAGGGACCAGGAAAATTTGGAAGGTCGCAGGCCTACCATAAACGCCTGCATTAACAGAGAGGGATGAGCATCCGGCAAACCCCGGATTTGCGTGGCAAAGCGATCCACAAAATGTGAGAGGGGCTTGTCCTCCCTTTGGTTGAGTCTGAGGAGCAGTGCAATGGATGGCTTCGACCGGGCGTAGGCTAGGAAGTTAAGCTCAAAGTCCCTGACAAGCTGATCGAAGGAAGTGATCGCTCCGAGCTTCAGACTACTATACCATACACGGGCTGGCCCCCTAAGAGTCGTGGGGAATGCCCTGCACATCAGGGCGTCTGAGGTTCCATAAAGCGTCATTCGGGCACGGAAGGTGGCTATATGGTCCGTTGGGTCGGTGGCGTCGTCGTACGCGTCGAGAGAGGGGAGGCGGAAGTTCGGGGGGACTGCCTGATCTTGTATCTCAGGCGCGAACGAAGACCCTTGGTGCGCGTCCTCCCCGAGCTCTCCCTTTGACCTGCGAACCTCCTTCTACACTTCGTCGAGCCGCTAACTAACAAAGCGTAATTGGGCTCGTAGGGAGTCCGCTGAATCCGAAGATAATGCCTCGGGTTCCGAGCGCCCGCTCGAGTTTGCCATCACCCGGTCCCCAAGTGGGGCCGATTGGACCCGAGGTGAAGTGGGGAGCTCCAGAGGTGGCATGTGAGCCCGAACGAGCGGCTCTTGTTGCCGCACCGGTTGGATCGCAGGCGGGTGCGTCGGACAAGAAACGAGCAAGATAATGGATTGCACCATACCCATTAGAGCTCGGACTTGATGAGCGAGGTCCTGAAAGGCCTCGGACAACACGGGCGACTGGTCGGCTGGGGCACCGTCGGGTGGCGACAAGCCCGGGTCGTTGAATATCTGCCAATAGCGTTGTGAGGTCGTGGTAGGGTGTTTATCTCGAGATTCTCTATGCGGAGGGTGTTCCCCCGGAGCCCCGATCGGGTGTGACCCTTAAGTTGCGGGTTCGTCTGAGTCAATCTGTCGATCCCTCGACATTCAGGCCCTTCCTCTAGCGTCAAAATATTTGTATAAACAACTTTAAGCCGTGGCCTCGGGGCCGACGCGACTCGGTTTGGGACTAGATGATGGGGGATCTTCTTGGGACGGCCCTTGGGACCGCTGAGGCGACCGACTGCGGTGGTCCGATCGGGATGGGGTCGTCGTTTCCTCCGGGAGGGAATTCCTCGCTTGGGCGTTTAATGGGAGGCCTCCGTCTTCACACTTGCACACAGGTCGGGTCGGGAGAGCTCGACCCGACCCCTCCGACGATCAAGTTAGCGAATAGTTGCAGGGGTTATTCTCTTGTCCTCCTCCCCCTTTCCTCGGAGCGCGGGGGTTTTTATAGTGAGGGTTACCATTGCCTGATGTGCCTGCCCGCAAGAAGCAGGATCGTACTTCTGGTAGCATCTGACATGGACATTGACGTGGCGTGAGGGATCGAGCTTGAGCAGGATGTTAATGTGCCTTGGTCGACGTTCCGGTTCGTGTTGACTAGGTGTTGTCAGGTCAACAGAGGCACGAGGTGTCATCTGGGGCGGCTGACGTCACCCGAGTTTTATCACCATTATTACCCTCATCACGACTCGACCCTAAACTCGAATTGATGGAAATCGAAATGTTCTTTTGAGCAATAGTGAGACTCGTTGGCAGGAAACTATTTGTTTTAGCTTATGTTCATCTCATAAAGAATCGATTATCCTCCCATCATACATATATTAATTAAATTTTAAATTATGACTAATCGAGGACCATGATATATTAAAAATATAATCAAATCTATCAAAATCGATTCTTTATGAGCAACGTTGAATCCTATTAAATTATGTCTATCTCAACATAAAACGTAACGTCACGATTTCGAATCGAAAATAAGTGCCTCCGGATACCACGGGACGGCGTTGAATCCGGAGCGAATTGGATAGACGAGGATAGGCAACGTGGCACGATGCTGACCAGGATATGCATGCGTTTTGTTGGTGGCCATGGTTACACGCTGCTCGACCCGTCGGCATCACGTGGAACATTGGCTGTCCCATTTATACGTGAAGCTATGGTTGTCCATATTCCGAGGGATTTTTTCCTTGATTTCAAACAATATTTTATTATATCATGATTTGATACCGCACCTAATCTTCCCCCAATTTGTATTGAGAATAGTTAATTACATAACTATAAGCAAGAGATTAGAGTGAAATACGCAGTTCTACTGGCTAAGCAAAAGGCAAAGGTTTGGATCGTAGGCATCTATCCGTCATCATACCAAGACGTGGCTAAGAAGTCTCCAAGTCAGCTATATATCCAAGCAAAACAGTACTGCTCGTACTTATTCGCCGGGGAGTAGATCAGCTCTATGCTTGGCATGGCCTCTTCCGACCTCAGTTCTCGTCTCTCTGCAGCCATGGAAACAACCAGCCATTGGTACTGTCTCTTCTCTCTGACTCGCACGCGCAGCACTCCATGGCTCTGTCTGTAAACTATTCCTAATTTCTCCTAAATTCCAGGGATTTTTCACAAGATATCCCAAGCGACATCGTCGTCCAGATCGGAGACGCTACTTTTCAGCTCCATAAGGTACGCGAGTCTTCCCCCCACACATATGTATGATCTTCTTCTATCTAATAATTCGTAGACCTTGTTATGCAGTTCGTGCTGGCGGCCAAGAGCGGGTACATCAGAAGGAAAGTGATGGAGTCGGAGAGCGCCAACCTTAGCTGCATAGATCTCTCGGATCTGTCGATCGGAGCAGAGGTGTTCGAGAGGGTGGCCAAGTTCTGCTACGGTGTCAACTTCGAGATCTCCGTGCGCAACGTGGCGGCGCTGCGGTGCGCGGCGGAGTACTTGCAGATGACCGAAGAGTACTGCCGTGGCAACCTGGCGGCGAGGACGGAGGAGTTCATCAACCAAGCGGCGGTGAAGACACTCCCAGGGGCGGTGGCGTTGCTCCGGTCGTGCGAGGGCCCCCTCCTCCCGATGGCCGAGTCGCTCCGCGTCGTGCAGCGCTCCGTTGATGCCATCAGCTTGAAGGTTCCTAACGATAATTATTCATGCTGTTTAATTAATTACTGGCAGCAATATATATATATATATATATATATATATATGCTGTTTTTCTCAAGAGATTACAAATAATAATTCAATAAAATATAAGCAAATCCCACAATAATATTAATAACGAGTTCGTCGTCTAACTTATGCTCGTTGATTTAGCATGGTGTTATATCACCCTCGAAATCTAGCAATATAATTACTTTTACGTCCAACCTTTTGCATTAATTTAATTGTAGGCGTGCAAGGAGTTGAACCGCCCAACGCGTTCCCCACCGAACTGGTGGGCCGGCGAGCTCGCCGTTCTTTCCCCGACCTCCCTCCAGATGATCCTCATCGCCATGAAATCCCGCGGCGCCGACCCCAAATCCCTCGCTGCTGCCATTGTCGTCTACGCTGAGAATTTCCTACCCCACCTCCTCCACCCTTCCTCCGGCGCCAGCGCCCCAGCCGGCGGAAAAGACGGGACTCGGGAGCGCAGCCTTCTGGAGTCCGTTGTTTCCATCCTCCTTCCCGACTGCGACGCTCCACTTCCCGTCGGCTTCATCTTCTACCTTCTCCGGGCCGCCATCTTCCTCGAAGCCTCCGAGAGATGCCGGCGGGAGCTAGAGCGGCGGGCCTCCGCCTGCCTCGACCAGGCGACAGTCGCCGACCTCCTCACCATCACTCTAGACTATGCCGGCGAGCGTGTCGTGGATCTAGAAACCGCGCGGCGTATTGTGGCCGGCTTCGCGGAGAGGGAGGCTGGCGGCGGGGGCGGGGCGGTCTACAAAGGAGATAGTGGCGCCGCCGGCTGCTCCGCGGCGGTTCAGAAGGTGGCGCGTACCGTCGACAGCTTTGTTGGGAAGATCGCGTCAGATGAGGAACTCTCAGTGTCCAAGTTCACGGGGATCGCGGGAGCTCTCCCCAAGTCAGCTCGCCGCTTCGATGACGACCTCTACCGCGCCGTCGACATCTATCTCAAGGTCCAAATTACCCTACTAGTGTAGGAATGTTTCTCCCTCTCAAGGAAGTCTTTTCAGTCATGGAACACAAGCTAATTACCATCGGTCTTGAATTGGGTATATACCGCAGGCGCACCCGGGGTTGGACGAGATCGAGAGGGAGAAGGCGTCCAGTGTGATAGACCCGTTGAAGCTGTCGTACGAGGCCCGGCTCCATGCTTCGCAGAACAAGCGGCTTCCCTTGCAAATTGTCCTCCATGCTCTGTACTACGACCAACTGAAGCAAAGGAGCGGAATGGAGGATGAGGCAGCGGCTGGGGCACCGGGTGCAACGCTGGGACCAGACCACGGGCTGAATGCCGACGTCTCGTTGATCAGGGAGAACGAGGCCCTGCGATCGGAGCTGGCGCGGATGAAGATGTATGTGTCGGAGATGCATCGAGGAGGAGGAGGGGGAGGACAGGGGAGCGGAGTCAAGGCCAGAAGCAAGAAGGCCATGTTCTTCTCCTCGGTTTCCCGGACGCTGGGGAAGCTTAATCCTTTCAAGCAGGGATCAAAGGATACTTCCAACATGGACGACGGTGTTGTGGTGGATGTGACCAAGCCCAGGAGGAGGAGGTTCTCGATATCTTAAAGACCAGAGATATCCATTGTGATGCTATCCCTATTCTTGTCGTCGTACTTCCTTTTATATATATATATATATATATATTTGTGTGTGTGTATCTGCTTGTTGTTTGTGTAAAAGAATTCTTCTTGACACAATATGATCATAAGTGATGGGGAATTCGTTAGTTTGTGTCCAAAATATTGGATATACATATCATATATAAATAGGATATTTTGACATGAGTCAGATATTTTTGAATGTTTTTGTGTGAGTTAACATATCGCATATTAAAAAGATGCTTTGGATGTTTTATTTTGGATAGATATATCACACGTAAATAAGATATTTGAAATATTTATTTTCTTACGAAGGAACCTAGCATATCTTTTAACTCTCCAATCAATTTATGATTTTATTATATAATGTATTATTTTTTTAATTTATTAATAAAATTTTATATTACAAAATATTTATATTTCTCCACAAAGTGATTGATTTCATCGTTCTTCAATATTTTTAAATTGTATTAATCAAAAGAATATTTAGATTTATTTGAATTGAATTGAATCAAGTATAATATTCTTTGAAATGTAAATATATATTAAACATGTACTTATTGCTTATTTTTAACAATGCAAAATATTATTAATTTATTACTAATTTTGGGTACTTATTGCTTATTTTATCATCTAATATAAATATATGACAGCTCAAAATCAACTATAATTTTATATGCATAATTTTTTCGTTCGACGGATATAATTCACAATATATAAGAAAAATATTATGGGAATAATTGAATCATACCCAAGTAGATCCCCAGAAAATACAGGTGTCGTGGGACCCAACTATTTGACCAACCAGAAACTTGGGGACGTTAAATAGCGGCGTCCATCGTACTCGGGCCCGGGAATTCTACTCATTCTAGGGTTACGCAGGTCCGGCGACGGCCCGAGCGCCGCTCCGCTCAACTGCTGTCAGATCGGGAAGCGGTTGCTCTCCTGCTTCTTGTGCTCGCGATTGATGAGAATATTTTTTTGGTTACCTATTTATTTGTGATATTTGTCAGATTTTGCTTTCGTTACTGCAGTAATCTCTGTGTTTGCGACATCCATCGATTGCCATCTTCATCTCGCACGAGAAGCTGTGCGGTTTCCCAGAGTCCGCTGCTGATTTTATAGGGACGGAAGGCGGAGCTGCGTGTATCGGAGGGGAAGGGCCGGCACCATGAAAGCGGCAGGTAGAAAGAATATTAGGAGGGCGTCGAAGGAGGACGGTATTTCGCTCCGAGAAGGCCAGGGCATCATGAAAGTTGTGTCTCTTCGCGGCTCCAACGTTATCGAGGTCGGGTGATGGCGCACATCCATGCATGAATCTTGATACTTAACAGTTTCACCCATGTTTTCTACAGGTTACAGTAAATTAGAAAATCCCCTTTGCTTGATGTGATAATGATTCCTTTTTGTTGCATCTCTTATTGAATTTTGCGGTATGCTTGACATGGATGGATTACTACAATAAATGCAATATCTTTGAATGCATCCTTTGATCGCCAGGAAGCACAAGATTATTATTGGTGACTTTTACATGTGCCTTACTCTTCAGTCGTTGTTCTGATTCTTTAGTGTCACTAAAGGGGTTTACTTGATAAATGGCTTCTTCAAGTGCGGCCAGTTTTTCTGATGTTTGAAGATTACCGGTTTGCAACCACCTCTTTGCATTGTTTTTGTGTTGTTTGTCGATTCATGTTGCCATCGCATGATATATTTGCTTCAAGCTATGATGCATATGGTTGTGACATTGGCTGTATTGTAGCTTAACTCTTGCGTCATTGTTGTTTTATCTATCTCATCTTTATATAGGCAACAATCAGTCCAGCCCATAGAATCTTGATTGATGTTGTATTTTGGTTAGTAAATGATGTAGGATGGATTAAAGAGAACTTTGATTATAGTATAGTCCATTAAGTTCTAACATTTGAAAATTTAGACCAACATCCACTTCTTGCCCTGCTTGGTATTCTGTAAATGCCTGAAAAAATACATGAAAATTGAATGTGATACTTCGCAAAGTCTCTGTGTGTATCAAGCCTGTCAAGAACCATATGCTGAAGTAGATTACAGTTTGAGACGTAGGTCGTTCTTTGAAGTTGGAAATTCAAGTTTGAGTTTCCTTTATATTAACTAACCTGATGCTTCTTCACCTCCAGTAACTTACAATCGTTTCGCTGTCTTCTCTTTTGTTAGGTCATGGATGCCAAAGGTGTTAAATCTCTCGCTTTATTTCCAGCCAAATTTCAGAAGAGCTTTTGGATTAAAACAGGTATGTAGCTTATGCGAATGTATCAAGGGTCTTTTTTTTTAATTTCTGACATGGACATACAAAAGTACAAGGAAAATCTGCTGTATGTGCAGTGTGTTATTGTTATCTTATATATTATATATTAGTCAACATTAGTCAAGGACGTGGAATTGCCTCCATATGTGACATTGGATTGCTTCCACCATCCAGGAAGTTTCGTTGTGGTAGATGAAAGTGGAAGGGAGAAAGCCCTTGAGTCAGGTAGCAAGATAGCATGTATGGTTTCACAAGTTCTCTTCCATGACCAAGTTCGAGCACTTGAAAAATCTTTGGACTGGTGAGTTGCTTTTTTTTTTTTGACTGGTGAGTTGTTTGCTGATTCATGAGTTAACATAATTTGCTTTCATGCATCGGTTCTGTAAACATTTATATAATAAAGACACAAAACCGTAGGGTGTTTATGTAGTATCTTAAACCTTTGTACTTGATTTTTAAAGAACTAAAACAAGCAACTCTATGCTTGTTTATATGCAGTATAAAATCCATCGACCAATACAAATTTCTGGTTTATATGCATTGCTTGGTTGCCATGTTGCATTGTCTGATCTGTGCATCATCTAGCCATATTACTACTGGTGTGTTTCTTTCATCGATGCAGGCCTGCTATATTCAGAACCGCAACACCTGATGATAGCCACCAAGAGTCGAAATCACAATGCAAAGAAGAAACGGGTTCTGATAGTGAGGATGGCCTCCCACCAATCGAAGCAAATCTGAACAGAAATAGGCCTATTGAGCTGTATTCGGATAGCGATTCAGATTCTTGTCCTGCTTCCTAGCACACTATCGATCAGTTGAAGGGACAATTTCTTTGATGTATTTTGATGTCCATAACACTGCTTGTCTTTGAAAGATGGTGATGGACTGCTTATTCCGCCCGAATTGGACTGAATCAGGAGTCCTGTGTAGTCTCTTACACTTGTGTTGGATACTGAAATCACTCGTCACACTTGTGTGGCCGTGATGGGATTACCTTTCAAATTGGACCTACCAAAGGTAACATATATGGGGATCTTTACTTCATCTTTTGCCTTATGGATCAAATTTCTCTCTCATTGTTTCTTGTAATGATATATATGCAGTGCATCATACGAGCACAACGTGAGATAAGGTGAACGAAGGCCATCGATGAATTTGTGGTTAATTGGATCGGTGTGGCATGAGCTGCTAGTCCGATCACGGTTCCAATCGTTTTGATGGTTTAATGGTTTTAAATCAAGTTAGAGTCGAGTTTTGATGGTTTTTTTTTTTTTGAAAATCAAAATCAGAATCGATTGTTCTAATTTAGTTTCGAGTCGATAAAAAAAATCTTATAAATAATGAATATGTTCCTTCCAATAATTTAGTGATATCTTGAAACATTAAAATAGACTATTCCAATTCGCATTCAGAAATAGAATCACTTGTAATTGGTTTAGTTTTAGTTCGATATGATTCTAAAATTGATATTATAAATCAATATACCTCGAAAAAATTTGTGTAATCGAGAGGAAAAGGTTCGAAGGTTCGGATGCTCACTTAAGAGTTGATGTGAACTTGGCTGCTCATTTCACGAACGATCGATTTTATGCTTAGTCGTTAGTTTCACGAACGATCGATTTTGTGTAGTCGCTCGTTTCACGAACGATCGATTTTATGCTTAGTCGCTCGTTTCACGAACAATCGATTTTATGCTTAGTCGCTCGTTTCACGAACGATCGATTTTATGCTTAGTCGCTCGTTTCACGAACGATCGATTTTGTGTAGTCGCTCGTTTCACGAACAATCGATTTTATGCTTAGTCGCTCGTTTCACGAACGATCGATTTTGTGTAGTCGCTCGTTTCACGAACGATCGATTTTATGCTTAGTCGCTCGTTTCACGAACGATCGATTTTGTGTAGTCGCTCATTTCACGAACAATCGATTTTATGCTTAGTCGCTCGTTTCACGAACGATCGATTTACATAAATAACTGATCTTGATTTTTAAAACATGTTAACCAAGGAAAATATTTGTATAATGCTACTCCTATTATCACTTGAGGATATAAACAAAATATTTTTTGAAGTATTATTTGTATAATTGTCGATCGGATTACCACGAAATTCTATCGATAACCATAACATCACGGCTAGCTAGACACCCTCTTTCATGATAATTTCGTTTCGTCTGACCTTACTTTACCTCGGTTTACGTCGGCATCTCACCGATAAAGTTTCCGAGAAAACATTTTGTGTGACTAGGACGGTCAATGATGGCCACTGTGTCATCACGGACGATGGTTGCAACACTGTATCCATACCATGCCGGCTGACGTCAACGTCATCTCCATTGACTGTGTCATCCATTCTTTAGACACCAAAATGAATGACGTCATCGACTTCCACGTCATTCATTCATTCGTTGGCTCTGGGAGCAGCAACCATAGGCACACAGAACAAGTAAATATTTCTTTTCAGAAATATTTAAAAACTTGTTCTTTCATTATATCGTGTTAGTTCGAGACCAAAACTCTATACTTTAGATAAACTTGAGCATTAGAAGAGTCGTATCGAGTACATCGCGGCTTAGGTTTTGTAAGTCGTTCGACTCGATTTTACGATGAAAGTTTTGTCGAACCAGACAAGCTATGTGATATCTGTTGTCGGGTTAGACTTATGGTAATCATTATATTAAGTTTAATATAGTTAATCATGATTTGTCATAGTTAATTTGAGATGCAATGTCCAAATCTTTTGGGAATATAAAAGCAATTGCTCATTTGGATCCATTCATTTGTTGGAAGGTCGTTTTAGTCTGACCATTGAACACATGGATTCTATAGTTTGACCCATGGAACATTTTGCCAACGCGTAGTATGTGCCAGGATTGACTGTCATAGAGTGTATTATGTTATTCTTCATTATATGAGCACATATCTTTTGGGATCAATCTAAATCTAGGCTTCAAATCTCTTATACACCCTTCGATATATTCTAAAAGAAATTTTCTCTTAATCTATCTAAGAAAAAACTAGAAGCATTAAAATGTTCTTCCTAGAATATAGGAAGGATACTTGTAGAATAAAAATTCCCAATCTTGCCTTCATGATTATTTTCGCATTTGAATTCCTAATACTACAAACAACCTTGTTCGTCAAGTAATATGGCATATACATTAATAAAGACTCCACGATACTTGGCAACACTAACACATCCGTCAGATTGGACTTCCATTATTCCCTACACACGATGTAATCGAACATTCTACGAAGATGACTTTATACATATCCATTGACAAGGACCGAAAGGGACGGTCAGCAGTCGTCACTGCAAATGTATAGTCAACCGTGTCTGAACGAAGAGAGGACATGTCCAGAAGCCCCCTTCCTCTCCCTTTCCGAGCGAGAGAGAACCACAGGAGAAACTTACCTGCCAAGTAATAATCAATGCTGCATCTCGTCATGTTGTTATATATCCTTGTCCTTCGGTTGGTGTTCTTGTGCGCAACCATCCAAAACGAGAGATCTTTCTCATTTCTCTGACGTTGAACTCCTTTTTAGCATGCCAATTCTGAATCGTGTGACATAGGAAGGAGCTCTGTACTCGTTGATGAAGACAATTAGTGATAACTTTGATTAGTATTATTTGGCTTGGCAATACTGTTTTCTTCGGTCGCTCGTCATCTTTGAACATTAAATAGAGCTTACGAGTTTGACAGAACTCATTTGCGGAGGAATTCATGATCTCGGAAGAATACTGCTTGCATGCAATCAGGAACACGATGGGGGGGGGTATCAAAGCTTAAACTTTTGTCCTTATCTTAATCATGTAGTTAGCTATCATTAGTATTTCGATCATTATATTTCGAAAAATTATATTAACATTCTTATAATTATAAAAGTAAAATATTTATATTCATTTATCTTAACGTCATCGATTTTATAAACAAAAATATGAAAATAATAAGTAAAAAAATAATTTTAAAATTATAATTGATAGTAGGAGATGGTGAAGCCGCTAAAGACTGCAGGTGGTTATTATGGATGAGGAGAATAATGGTAAGAAGTAAGGGTCTCTCTACATTTGTGTGGACCCCAACATAGTTATCATTGATCAATCGTCGATTGACAATTGATCAATGATGACGTAGATGTAGAGTGATGAAAGGGTCATTCAGTAATTGTGTCAAGGTTGACACAAATGTAAATGACTCTTACCTCTCGCCACTGCTCTCGTTATTCACAACAACTATCCTGTGGCTCTCAGCGGTATCGTCGTCTGTCACCACCTTTGTCACCACTAATTGAAACTTTAAAATTATCTTTTTACCCTTTATTTTTATATTTTTGTTAGTAAAATTGACGTCGGTAGGATAAACGGACTTCAATGTTTTACTTTTATAATTATAAGAATACCAATATAATTTTTTAAAGTGTAAAGATTATGATACTAAGAGCAACTAACTATATGAGGTAAACACTTCATCTCGAGATCGTTTACCTGAATTAGATTTGATGAATACTAAGAGTTAGGAATATATATTATAAAAAGTATGTGATTTTATTTTATTTTAATGATGTTTTTATGTTTAGAAATATTTTGATTATTTTATTAATATTTTACTCTCTTTTTTTCCTCTCTTTCGACAACATTTAGAGATAATCATGTTCGAATCTTATAGACCAACAACAATATTACGAAGGGTCATCACTCGATTGACTAGCTGAGATAATAGAGGATAAACTTCAAGTGAAACACCTTGAATTACTCGACTAAGGCCTTTAAATGATCACTCGTTGACGACGAAGAAAAAAATTGATAAGAATGCAAAAATTATCAAGAGATTTGTCTACAAGTATCTACTTCGGAAGAAGTGCATAATAACTCATGGACTGAGGCATCCAAAGCTCTCTTTATAACATTATAAAAAGATTCTCTTCAAATACAACATAAGCATGAGCATGTTTTCTCTACTTATAATATTATTTTTATATCAGATTAATACTAATTTGAGCATTAAAAGATTTCAAATATTAATAATATTATCGGTCGAGATAGTCAAAACTTCAAATTTACTCGGTATCATCAACTACGAGAACAGGGTTTTTTGGTCCACCCAATCGATGAGGACCATACATAGTATATTCACAACCCTAAATATGTATCTGTATGCTTCCCCCTTTTTTTGTGAGATTAATAGTATGGTTATTTTCCTTTGTCCACAAAGGCGTCGCGAAGTACCTTTTAGTAAAGGAGATAAATAGAGGCCGGTGGCTGTGGCCGACTTCAGTTCTCGATTTGTCTTTGCGTTGACCAAACGCTGCGCAATGACAAAGACCTCACCCGACCTTTGCTTTCGTGTAGTTTCATTCCGGCGTGACACGCGTGAGTCTGACCGCGTCTTCGTTAGCCGCGTAAGAACTCGTACTCCCAATCCACATAGTATGTGCAATGGGCACATATGCCATGCGTATAACGTATGTGCTAACCTGGCATCGTATAATCTACATATATTATGTGGCGTGGGTCCCGCGGCGGCTAGAAATAGACATCGGCACCCACGTCGAAATGATAGAACGTCGCTGCCGGACACGTAACGGTGCTTGCACGTACGTACACACCGTATACGTTCACATACGTTAGTTGGTGTCTGGGTGGTTAGTGGACATCACTGGAAGGAGCTTATATATGCTGAGCTGCTACTGAAAGGGGGAGGAGAAGCCCATCAAATCACTGATGGAGATGGAGATGCAGATGCAGATGGTTGCTCCACGCTACACGTCGCCGGGATGCAACCATGCGACGGTGATAGAGGAGATCAATCGTGCACACGAGCTGACGAGCCAACTGCAAGCTTTTCTGCTGCCGTTGCTTCCGAGCAGTAGCTGGTCGGTGCTGGCCATAGATCACTTGACGGAGATGATCAAGTGCTATAACTCGGCTCTTTCCAAGCTCCGGGCTGCTGGTGGATGCCGGTCAACGCTGTTGGATGCCTCCGGTCACTGCGCAGATGATCAGAAAAGGAAGCGCTTTGAGGGTAAAGACTGGCCTGTTGTTCCCAAGAAAAGGTAAATCTGTTCATGCCGCAGCTGAGATCTTCTGTGAAGACTCCAGTATTATGATCTGATGTGTTTAACTTGGCATAGATCGAGTCTTAGCTTCCGCTTTTGCTTGCAGGAGGAATGAGAACTGTCGTCCGATAGTCACATCGGTCCTGTATGACGGGTACCAGTGGAGGAAGTACGGGCAGAAGGGTATCCATGGCGCCACACATCCAAAGTACGTAATCCCTCCCCTAAATCCATGCGTACTGTTCACCAGATCAAGTGGAATCTGAATCATATACATATATAAACCTGAAATTTGGGGAATGAGAATTGAAATCTATCCTCGGTTCACGAAAAGGAGGAATGCGTTTTGAGATGCATCACCGACATCATCGTCCTAAATTTTCTCCTCTGCAGAAGCTACTTCCGGTGCACTTACAGCAAAGATCAAGGATGCCCAGCCACAAAGACGGTGCAACGGGATGAGAGCGATGCTGATCCACCCAAGTATCGCGTGGTTTACCGCATGGCACACACCTGCAAGAATAACATGGACGCCAACTTCTCTTACGCGATGGAATCATCCTCCAATGACACAACCTCGGTCGTCATCCAACACCAGCATTTTTGCCCCCCATCAGCTGCCACTCCCAACCCTAGCCAGAGTAGCTGCCTGTCCAATGGCGATCAAGAGCTGATGCATCTCTTTTCCCCCGAGGAAGTTCCCGGCACAGGACTCGACATGAAGGGTGAGATACTGAGCTTACCATGGTCATGGGAATCCCTCGAACTGGATGCATATTTGAAGACAATGATGGATAGCATGTATTGATTGAAGAGATAGATAGACAGCAGCTGATAAAAGTGAGTGAAAGTCCTCCACCGAACGAGTAATATCTTCAAGTCTGCTCATTGTAACCAGCGAACAATCGAATCATGCTGGGGTTTTTCTTTGATGACACGAATGATTAGTAGTTGAACGAGTAATGTTTCTACTCTACGATGCTTTAGAGAACAGTATAATAGATATTCTGAAATGCTTTTATAGGAACCAAAAGAAGAGCTGCTTTATGTGTGTGTATATATATATATATATATATAGTGTGGGTGTGGGTGTGTGTGAGAAGTCGGAAATCATGCAGTCAGAACGCAGGGTTTGAACCCAAAGAAGAAAAGGTGGTATGTGATGACGTCGGTTGGACGGTCTCATTCTTTGTTAATCATTTATTATCAGAATCCGCGTGGGATTAGAGTCTTCTTCCTTCTTCAACATAACATGCTTGGAGCAAGTCCTATGTCTAGCTAATTAAAGAATTGATTATTATTACCTACATAGTATTGATATAAGATCTTTTCTATGACTTAACCTTAGTTCTAGAATCGATAGTTTCAATTCAGGATCGACGATTTCGATAAAACCAAAATCATGATTTTGATTCGAACAGATAGTTTTATTTAATTTAAAATAAAAAATTTATATTTTTATAAATCCTAAAGTTATTAGAAATTAAGAAGTATAACTCAACCATCCAAGTTTAGTTTCGATTCGATTTGGAACCAATGAACCATCAAATTGGTTCGGTTTTAATTAGATTATAGTTTAAATCGATCTATGGTCAAAACTATATCCGAATACCCAAATGATAAGTAAAATAAGATGTGACATTGGAATGGGGAAGAGAGACCCAAAATTCTAAATAGTGGGTTTTATATTGATTTGTTTTCTCTCTCCTATTTTATTTGTTCTTCATGTGTAAGAGAATAGAGCAAATGTGAATACGAAGAAGTCTTGGGGAAAAAGAGAGTTGCAGACCACTTGTGAAGCTGAAGATTACGTTTTGGAGGTCTCTTTTTCGTTTCTTTTGGGTGCCTTTCCGTCCAAGTCACCGTCGGTGTAACTTCGTTTCCTTGTTGGATAAACTCACTACGAGATATATAGATTTATCGTCGTCTTCGTCTTCGTCAAAGCTGTTCCTCGGTCCATGCGGCCGACGAGGCTAAAGCTTGCTAAGTAAGCCTTTGGGCATGTAGGCGTGACTTTGATTGACCATCATCATCTTGGGAGGCATGACAGCACCTAACTTTGTATACTACCAAGTTTATATCAAAACATGAACAATCAATATAAAATGCTATCATGTTTGCATGGGAACCACTCACTCCTTTCACTAATTTAATCCAAATTCAGTCTCAGGATTCTCACATAAATACTGAAATATTGTTTTCTAGATAAAATTCGAGAAGCACTATGAACAAAATACATATATTTTATTTTGTTTGAAGAATTATTTTATTTAGACACCAAGAAATAAGGAATAAACCTATAATACTGTTGGAAAAATACGATAAAGAAGAAGATGAAAATACTATGGAAACAAATAACAAACACAAGATCAAGAATACTATAGAAAATATATTTAGGCTTGAAACGTATATAAACACTTTCTTAAAAATGATATTTGCACCCTCTTCTCAATAAGATTGCTATGGGTTTGATACAAATAGTTTTAGTAGATATGACAAGCTTTTAGAAGATCTATATTGAGCAAACAATAAAGAATCTTCAAAGAGGAATTAAAGAATGTCTAATTCAATCACTTGGAGAGTAAACAAGAAGAGTATGAAAAAAATATCTTCATTATTTACTCTCAAATATCTATTTATAGATATTTTTTCTCAAAAGAAAACTTTTGAAAAATAACTACTAAAATAACTAAACCAACTTTTCAAATAAATCTTTTATAAATAATTTTTTTTAATTTGAACAATTTATAACATGTACATCTATCATAAATGTTTTTAGAAAATGTTTCAATCGATATAAAAAATATATATATATTAGAGAGATACTAGAGAAGATGCTTCAAAACTTTAAAATTCTTATTTACCATCTCTCACAATCTCTATCTATAGGTCTCTTTTGACTTACTCATATCTTGACTAAGATTCTTAAATTTAAAAAAAAATTAATTATAAAATTAAATTTAATATTTTATTTTTTTATAAATTAAACTTTAAAAAATTATTATGAAAAGCTTCTAAGTTTGATGTAATCTTCCTCGATGTTATTGTTATGTAAATTATTTTCTAAAATATCATAATTTTGAGAATAGTCATTCTTACGTTCAATCGATCTTATTGGTCCGATTCAATTATAAAATATTGATTTGTTTGGAATCAATTTGTTAGATTTCTTGAACCAATCTCTAAATACAAAATCAATTTAATTAGTATAGAATATTCTCAAACTTTATAACTTCATATAACGATGATTATTTCAACATTAGTGACATCTTTTCTTTTGAATCTTTAATTGTTGGTTTTTATAAAATTTTCTTTTATATGCCAAGATAAAATCACTTTCATACCTCCAACGAAAATATAATTATTTGTCCCAATAAAATAGTATCCACATAAATATATATTTTTTAATTTATTTTGTAGAAGGATATATATACATCTTTCTTAAATATTTTATAAAATCAACAATGCTTCTCTTCTTCTGTCTTAGCTTCAAAGATTCATAAAATAATATTTTTATCTAGTTTATTGAAATATAAGCTTCACTGCTTTTTTTTATCTTCCTCTTTCTTAAAAAATATTTTTTTACTATTAAATCTCTATTTATCTTTAAAATAATCCAAAATAAATATTTTTAAGACCTTTGATATGAGAAAAGTTTTCATCATTATTTTTCATCTCCAATAATCTTTTTCATCAAATATGGGTAATAACGAGATCTAAAATAAATTATAAAAATCATCATTTATGTTTTCAATCTTTTATTTTAAAGATGATCAAACTTTTACTTTGCAAGCTTTCTTTATTTACTAATCGATGTTGTGATAACTTCTTCTTCTGTTCATCATCTTCTCCTACTCCTCTTATTTGATGAGTTGCCATGATCAGATTCGCTCCTCATCAATGTTGTAATTAATTCTTCTCTCTCTCCCTAGTATGTTCTCCCTCCTCATTTTTTCTTTCTCTATAATTTCTCTCTCTAACATCACTAGTTATCTATCTAAATAGCTCTAATTCTCTATATATAGTGTTATTTCTCTCGTTAAATAATAATAATATATTTTTTCATTAAATAATAACTAAGATAAGTATTTATAGTGTTATTTTTCACGTTAAATAATAACTAAGACTCTCCAATGAGATAAGTATTTACAGCATCTATTTTTCTTTCGACAATCTTTTTGCTCTTACGCTTTCTCTCTTGATCCTTCACGAGCCCTTTATTTACAGGGGGATAAATTCAAAACATTGACTTTAATTACGATAGAAACTTCTATCTTCGCTAAGACTCCTAAACCAAAAAAATCATATCTAATTAAAATTTTTAATTTAATATTCTAACAATGAGATGGAGATAATTTTTTTAATAGTCATAAGCATGTTTATTTTCGTCTTAAAAAAGACTTTAAATTTGAGATCGCTTGACAAAAAATTAAAATTAAAATATATCAAAAATATAAAATATCAAAGCTTTGGATAAGTTGTAACATAATTTTTTATTGAATTGATAGTCCTTAATCCATCTAGAATTAATTACCATGATTTCATAATAGAACACAGAATATGTATGCACATGAGGGCATCCAACAATAATATATATATATATTACCTCAACCAACCCTAATGGCGGGCATGTTTTAGCTTCCTTGGAAGGCTTAACTCTGAATCCGTTGCCCATCGGCATCCTCGATGGCATCTACGAAACAGAGGAAGGGGAATCAAAGTTTCTTTAGTGAGAGAATCTCATCCACTTGTGCTAGAAATGAATGCAGAATTCCCAGCTCCTGGAGGACTCCTCTTGACGGCATCGGCGTACGTGAGCTCGGTGACGGTCGCTCTGTCGGGCTTTATTGTCCACGTTCCTTAACTCTGCTCATCTCATGCATCGCCACCGCCTTTAAGTCCCTTCCTCGTAACCCAGTACGTGCACCCTTTGATGGAACGCAAGCAAGACGAAGATACAAGGCTCGCTTGTCTAAAGGAGGATAAGGAGCAAGAGATGGATCTCAAGACTCTGTCGCTCAAAGATCTCATCGAGGGTCAAGAGTCGGCCACCCAACTCCACACCATTTTGCAGGACATACTGCCGCTGCTGAAGAGCGGCTCTGCTTCCACTGCTGCAACTCTCATGACAAGGATTTTGAGCTCATTTTCTCGACCAATTTCTTTACTAGAAGTTCAGGGGATGGTAGAAGGTCTGCCAAATACTCGTGTTTCTGATGAACGGAGACTGGATGCATCCAGCGATAAGAGAAAGCTCCACCAGCCCGGAAAAAGTGGCTACAGACGCAGGTAATCTAATTCTCTCCCTGCTTGTAGTTTTGTAGAAGCTAATTCATCAAACTGCTTTTTTTTCTTCGAGAGAAAAAAATAAGAGTGGAGTTTTGATCATACAGTGTCTGTCTTTTCTGTTCACTCTGATGATGTTTCCTTCTGCCATGCAGAGCTCATCCATGTACGAACACGAGAGTTGTATCAGAGACGATGGATGATGGTCATGTTTGGCGAAAATACGGGCAAAAGAACATCTGCACTTCAAAATTTCCAAGGTCTCTGTCTTTTTCTTTTGGTTGATTATCTCAGAATTTATATTCGTAATGCTTGGAATATATTGAATATATTCCTTGAAATGGCTTGCATCTGTCGCATTGGATTATGTTGAAGCTGGTCTTCTCAGGAGCTACTACAGATGTGGCCACAAATATGACCGAGGTTGCCAGGCCACAAGACAAGTACAGAGATCGTCGGAGGACCCCTCTATGTTCGTGATCACTTACATGGGACAGCACGCGTGTGTGGGCGGAAGCACATCACCCAGTCCGCCCTCACCCTGCATCATCAGCTTTGGATCGAATGCTGTACAAGAGAAGTCCTTCCCCTCCCCCATCCCTTCACGCGACGAGGAGGTGCCAAATGACTCGACTCCATGGACTTCTCCCACGGAACTAATATTTCCAGACTTCCCGGTTTACTTCGATTCTGCTTCCACGGCTACGTCCGGTTGCCACGCTTCTGCTGATAGCTTAAACTTGGAGTTCAATCCTGA